TCTGACAAAGCATATGGGTGGCTGCTGGTGCCCACCTAGAGAGCCAAGAGCAAGAGGGAAGATGCAGTGTTTTGGACTCTGAGAGAAAAGGACAGACAGACAGACACAGCTTTTTATCAGGTGACAGAACTTGGTGCTCAGAAGCTGCAGAAGACCTTCAGATCCTTCAGGTAGCCTCAAAGTAATTTCTCATCTACCCCATAGATATTACTGAGGGCTTTCCCTGCATGGAACACTCTCCTGACACCCACTGAACTACCCATAACATAAAGAAAGTTACAGGAATTCAAGGATAGACAGACAGACAGAACACAGCAGCAGCTGAAAGGAGAAAACATGAGTCTAGCTCCTGTGATGGGACAATCTACTTTACTTCATTATATATACATTATATTATTATATACATATACATTATATACAACTGTATATAATTATATACAATCTATACATATATACATATATCATATATTTTATATGCATATTATAAATACATATACACATATTATATACATATATATGTATACTCTGTAAGCAGTGATAAAGAAAGAAATAAGGTAAAAGTAAAGGACCCCAAAATCTTGCCAATATGACATATATATATATATTTATATATATAGAAAACCATGGAATATTACACAGCCAAAGAAAAATGATCTCCAAAGGAAAATGAAATTATATTATTTACAGGAAAATTAATGCAACTAGAGGACATATATTGGACAAGATAAAACAAGATCAAAAAATAAAATATTGTATGTTTTCATTTATATGTAGAAGCTAGACCTAAAATACATACATATTCATGCGTGTGTACATAAATATATCTACATCCATATCCATAATTACTTATATGTTAAAAATAGAAGCAAGATAAGAGTAAAAGATGGAAAAAGAAATGAATGAAAACTTTGTAATATATTATCACAAGCATGTTTGAGGGCAGCACAGAGAAACTCAATGAAATCTGATGATGAATGAGGGGGTGTCGACTCTGTAGATGAATGGGAACCATTGGGAGGGGGGTGAGCTAGTAGGAAGGATAAAGGAAGTTGAAAACTGTCCATTTGCAACTAAGAAAATGAAACAAGGAAACTCAACGGGAATCATAATTTGTGGAGAGGGATATGGAGTATGATAAAGGGAGTGAGATTGACTAGAATACACTGTGAACATGTTGGAAGTATAACACTGAATATTCCCCTGTATAACTAATATAGCCAATAAAAATATAACTGAAATTCTTTGTAAAAAAAAAAGAATCTTAAAGCCAGGCACTGATGGCTCACTTCTGCAATCCTATCCACTCAAGAGGCTAAGATCCGAGCATCAAGGTTTGAAGCCAGTCTAGTCAGGAAAGTCTGTGAGAGTCCTATCTCTTCTTAACTACCAAAAGAAAAGCCAAAAGTGGAGCTGTGGCTCAACTCATAGAGCACTAGCCTTGAGCAGAAAAAAAAAAAAAACTCCTGAGTTCAAACCCCAGGACAGGAACAACAACAACAAAAAAAAAAAAAAAAAATGGGAAGGGGGAAAATCTTAGATAAAAGACATTAGATTGTTAACAAGTTGATTCAAGTGGCAAGATTTGGGGGCCCTTTTCTTTTACCTCTTGCACAACACCAGGAGTATAGTAGATATGCAATAAATATTTGTCCAATGAACCAAATGCATGAACAGAGGCTTATAAATAATTGTGTTACAGGATGGGAAACGGTAAGGACAGAAGAGGAGGCAAAGATTATCTAATGTTACAGGAAATGAAGCTTAAGCTGCTCATTCACATTAATGATCCATCAAAAAGATCTACCAATGCCGTTTTAAAAAAACATAGTATGTAGTCACTGTAAGAATGACAGAGACAAGCATGAGACAAAAGTACAGTAAACCCTAAGTCCAGCCACTTGAATTAACCTCAACAATCTGATGTCTTTCCTCCAACACCCTTTTATTCCTATTATTTAAAAAGAAAAACATCTTTTATTTACTTAATTTAGAACACAAGTGCATATAAACATAAATGTATGCTGGCATATGGTGGTTCTCAATTGGGAGTGATTTTCTTCCTCAGGGTACAACTAACTGGTAATCACATGAAATCTTCATTTAATTAATTAATTAATACAAGAACAATGCCATGAACAGCACTCATTATTAGCTCTATCCTGAGGTCCTTAAATGGGGAAGCCAACGAGTAGCCTCAGAATCCAAAGGCTCTCAAAGCTCATCATAGTCTATTTTGGGCAGCAGGTCCTGAAATTTCATCTGTGGCTGGAATGCCCAGGAACAACTGCAAGGAAAGTGAGGCAAGCCCAGGCCCATGCATTTCAGGCAACAAGCTGGAAGCAAACAAAGTGTGAGCTGGCTTCTCTGTAAGGCCACTGTCTCCCTGAACAGGGTAGGCTCAGGGCTTCTCAACTCTGACTCTGTATCCAAAACACTGGGAGATTTGTCAGAAGCACCCAAGACTGGGCCCCATAAGAGAGACTTAGCTCCTTGAGAGTTGGAGACAGGGAGTCTGGCAATGGGCCTTCTAAAAGTATCAACAAGACTCAAGTGTGTTTTGCAAATAAACTTTCCAGGACTCTGGGTCATAGTCAAGTGGGAAGAACACACCCCTAGACTAAAGGAAGTTTCTGGAAGATGCTAGAGACCAGACCAGAAAAGACATAGAGTCTACTTGTGCTGAGCACTGGGCCATGTCAATGAATAAACAAGACAGGGCCCATCTCTCAATGAATCCCTGCATCCTATGTGGAGTAGAAGACTGAGCACAGGCCAGCTGGGATGAGTCTGCTAGCAGACCTGACAAGGTGCTATTACATCCAGAGTGAAGACTAACATCACCCAGGGGAATCCTAGGTGCCTTTGCAGAAAAGGTGATAAATCTGGAGGGCTTTGAAAGTCAAATGGACTTTGAATGGTCAGAAATGCTATGTTGTATTATATCGTAGGGTGGAGACAGAGAGTGTGAGGGAGACCAGCAGGAGCTCACGCTTAGGGTATCTGGGCCAGGGCAACCGCCAAGCGGGATCTCAACAGATTTAGTCACCTCTCTGACTCAAGGGCAGTGCCACTCCTAGCTCTGGTCATCACTCCCTGCTGTGACCACTGACATGGACACATCGTGTAACTTCTCCAACTTTCTGGTTTCTTATAGGCAGAATAAGGCATTTAGTAGCCACCCCTGGACTGTTGCTGAACCAAAGAGAGTCAGGAACAGGCTCAAAGGAGTTTCGAGGTATCCAGGCACCCAGGCATCCCAGGCTGACAAGGTCCCTGGGGTTCAATGTCCTCTGGGGATTTCTTCTGATCATAATTGGCCTTCAATTTATATTCATTCATTCATTTACTCTGTGTGTGTGTGTGTGTGTGTGTGTGTGTGTGTGTGTGTGTGTGTGTGTGTGTGTAGAACCTATGGCTTTGTGCATATTACACAGTGTTTTACTACTGTTGGATGTCGGTGGCTCACTTCTGTAATCCTAGCCAGATCTCAGGAAGCTGAGGGCTGAGGATTGTGCTTTGAAGCCAGACCAAGCAGAAAAGTCCATGAGACTTTCGTCTCCAATAACCAGCAAAAAGCCAAAAATGGAGCTGTGGTTCAAGTGGTAAAACACCAGCCTTAGGTGAAAAAGTTAAGAGACAGCACCTAAGCACTGAGTTCAAAGCCTATACTAGTACCAAAAAAGTGCTCTACCACTGAGCCATATCCCAGGACTGCTCCACAACTTTTGTAACAGTGGGAGGACCGGGCAGCATCTGAAAAGCAGGGAGACATAAGATTCCTGTCTTAAAATTGTTCTTGCACTATGAACTACCTGGCAAGTCAATAATCAATGGAAATAGCAACATTGTCTAAAATGTTTCAAACCACATCTTTCAAAAAAAGGAATGGTTTTATAAATCCTCCTATAACAAAGAATGGAAATTATACCTAGAACTCACTCTGCTAAATTGACTGTCATCTATCTATCATTATTATGTATTTGTGTGTTGGGGGGAAGGGAATGCCACAGAGATAATGTGACCAAGAAGTCCCCTTGATGTCCCCATGGCCTTCAACCTTCATGAAAAACTGTCACTCACTCCCCTATAGTTCACCATCTTTTGCAACACATATTAAAAAAAAAATTCACGAAGCCACAGAGTATAGGTCCTACTAAGAGGAAACCCTCTTTCCTTTCCTTATCTTTCTCCACAGAACTAGCGTCCTGACTCACAGCTATTGTTCCTTCTCTCAATTTTGACAGATCCTTCCTCTTCCCTTTCCCCTCCTGAGACACTTCTCTCATGGGAATCTGCCTGAAGTGGTGGCCAAGGAGCCTGGGGAGTAGAAGAGGGTGTGATTGCTTTGCTATCCCAGGGAAAGACCCTCTCCAGTCTAAGCACCATATATAGAAAATTAGCTCCTTGAATTTAGAAAAACAAATGCCTTAAACACCCTTCAAGCCTCCTTGTTTAAGGCCTATTCATCCTATTCTGTTCCTCTTATTTCTGGTTGAGACATATATGGTGAATTCAATATGGCTAGTGTTCCATAAAGATAAATTACTGAACTAGTGGGTGGGTGGGTGGATGGATGGATGGACAGATGGACAGACGGATGGATGGATGATGGATGGATGGATGGGCAGAACACACACCACTTTCAAAGCACATACCCAGTCAAGTGGCCTTGATTCCTCTCTACTTCCCACACACATCTTCCAGCCATGCCTTATGCCCACTGCTCGGTAAGAGTGGGGACATTTTCCTTCCGAAATCATTCTAGTAAAGTGGTAATTACTGACATATTAATGGCACTTTCAATTTTCCAAAGCCTATAACCTTTATTGAACTGTGTTTCATTCTTGCCAATCACAGAGTGGGATTTCTGATCCTACTGACGAAAGAAACTGTGAGCTGGTTTGGGGTTAGTTTCCCAGTCTGGGTACAGAGCGGGCAGTGAGCTCAAAGTTGGGTGGCACCAGACCGAGTGTGGGCGCGGCGGCCCCCGGGGCTCTCACCTCGGAACGTCAGGCTGGCGACAGGGTCGCTGCGGTCCTTCTTCACACTGGGGAGGTTGCTGGCCCTCACCAGCAGGCAGCACAGCATGGCTGGGCAGCCCCTGGAGCACGGAACGCACCGGCAAGCAACGAGGGAGCAGGAGCACCGGACCCAGACACCCACCCGGCAAGCGCGCAGCTCCCAGGCAGCCCAGCCAAAGGGGAGCCGTCGCCTGCGCTGCGCCTCCAAGAAGTAGCCCAGCCCCTGAGGAGAGGCCGCCTGGAGGACACCGGATACCCACTGGGCGGGTCCACCCCTCCAGACCCCGTCCAGATCCGTCCAATCGGCAGCTGGCAGGGCTGCGCAGGGGTCAGATGCACCAGTGGGGGCGCTGGTCTCTTGCTCCCAAGAAAGAAAGTGCAGCTGGCGTGGAGCGCACGTTTGTTGGCCAAGCGCAGACTCGGAGTCTCCAGAATCCGGGGCTCCATGGGCCTAAGCTTAGCGAACTTCACCCAGTGCCCGAGAGCGTGGCCAGGGCGGGAGAAATGAATGGAGGCGGACGGTGTGGGGATCACCACCAGGACACCAGCGTGTCCCCGGGAGAGAGGAGACAGGAGCGGCGAGTGCGCCCTGCGCTGTGCGCCTCGCGCTCTGAGTCCCTGAGTCCACACAGCTCTGCCCCCGACACCCGCCCGGCGCCAGCGCTCGCCAACCGCTGCTCTGCGCTAGCTCTGGCTGCCAAGGGGCCTTTCTGATCTGCTGAGAACCCTGGTCCAGAGGAAATCCCGAGGCTCGAACTCCTGCAAAGGCGCCTCTGAGCTTTCTCTATGGCTCGCTAGGACTGCTCATCTCTGGGAACTGAAGTCTGTATGTAAATTACACTGTGTTGCATAGCAGTCCAATCCCTTCTTCAAGTCCCTGCTTCCAGAAATCTCTACACTCGTATCCCACATACACACCATCACCTCCGTGGAAACAGTTGCTTATGTCTTCCTCCTGGAGCGGTGATAGTCCTTAGCACACTTGCAAGGGGGCGTCAGGCACCTCTCCAGCGTATCCTGACCACAGGACCCTGGCTTCTCACATCGACATCCCAACACCCCGTAGACGCCCCGCAATTCCTCACTAACCAATCACCTTACTTGTCCTAAATTCCATGCCTGATTATTAGCAGGCTTTCCCTAAGTAAACTTTCAACTCCCTTTCTTACTTTGCGGAATAAAGCATTTCATAGGGCACCATGGCCTGTACTATAAGGGGAGGCACAAGGGGAGGATATTGAGACTCTGACGTGAAAATAACCAATATGCCGGGCGCTGGTACCTATAATCCTAGCTACTCAGTAAACTGAGTTCTGAGGGTCATGGTTCAACACCAGCCTGGGCAGAAAAGTCCATAAGACTCTTATTTCCAACTAAGAGTTAATAAAACTGAAAGTGGAGCTGTGGCTCAAATGGTACAGCACTACCCTTGAGCAAAAAAATGCTCAGGAACAGTGCCTTTTCCCTGAGTTGAAGCCCCAGGATCAGCACCTTCTCCCTTTCATGATTTTTTTTTAATAGCACCAATCACTCAGTAATGTGTAGCTTATTTCCTTTCCATCTTCCCCATATTTGAATGTCAGCTTCAAGAAGTCAGGGATCCAGGCGTTGGTGGCTCACGCCTGTAATCCTAGCTATTCAGGAGGCTGAGATTTGAGGATCACAGTTTAAAGCCAGCCCGGGCAGGAAACTCCATGAGACTCTTATCTCCAATAAAACACTCAGAAAACTGGAAGTGGTGCTGTGGCTCAAGTGGTAGAGCACTCGCCTTGAGCTGAAGAGCTGACGGATAGTGCCCAGGCCCAGAGTTCAAGCTCCACGATCAACCCAAAAAAATTAAAAGTCAGGGATTTTTTTTCTTTTTGGCCTTAGACTAGAACTTGGTACCTGACACTTTGCTCATTATCTAGCACTCTACCAACTGAGTCACACCTCCAACCCAAAGTCAGGAATTCTTGTCTGTTTTGTCCACTGCTATTTCCTTAGCACCTAGACAGTGGATTGAAGTAATAAATGCATCCTATGCCCATCATCAGGTACTGATAACCTCCTGGAATTGTACTAGATGATGAGAATAGGGCATACCCCTGCCCTCAGGATGCTCAGTGTTAGGAAACAGAGAGGGCACCCATACCCAACAGCACTGTGGGAATTACTCTCAAGAACAGAAACATGGTGAAGGAGTGACAGGAAGGAGAACCTGCAGCTATCTCCTCTCCAGAACTTCTCTAACAGCCTGGATCCTCCCATCCTCCTCCTGACTACTCCTCAAGGTATGGTAGACACTTGGCCCCTTTCTAGCACTTAGCACTCTTCCTCCCTCATAGCAGGGCTTGTGTCTAGCTCCACTGTGGACTCAAATAGCTCCAAGTCTACCACCATCCTCTCCTGCACAGGTTTCTTTGGGCACCTCCTAACTGGTCACCTCACAGTCACTGTGGCCGCATCCATTCACTATCCAGATTGCAGTCACGCAGTCTTTAGAAACATAAATGATCATACCAGTACCTTGCTGGACACTCCTTTCTCCCTGCAAGGGCCTCCTGTGCTCTTGAGAGTAAGTCTAGATTCCTTCCCTTGGCCCAGAGAGCAAGACCACTCAGTCTCTTGACCCTAGAACTGCAGCTCCAGGGACTTCTCAGTTTCTAGAACATGCCAAACTCTCTTCCCACTCTGGGGTCAGCTAGTCTCTCTGCCTGCAGCTATCTTCCCCACTCACTTCTCAGGGCCATCGCCATTCTTTCTTGAGCCTTCAGTTCAAAGAGCTCTTAGAGCTCATCACATGATAAGAAATGCCAATTTCATAATTGCTGGCTTAATACCTAGCTGGAGTGTGGGTTCAATGAATTAGGACAGAGACTGGGGTCATCTTAGACCCAGGTGTTCCTAGTATGCAGTTCAGGGCTGGGCTGGAGTTGGTGCAATGGACATTGCATATGGCTTTCTGATGTTTCACCTGATGAATCTAATCTTGCATCTCAGAGGACAGTAATGCCCTCTAGGGGGGAACCTTAGGAATTGTGGATTCCCCCTCACCCCACCCCGCTTTCTCTTTCTCTCCCCCCTTTCCTCCTTCATCTGTTCCATTGATTCCTGGTTTTGTGCTTCTACTCCACAACCTCACCGTACCTCAATACCACACCCTACCCTGGATCCTATATGTCAGAGTCAGCACAGGAAATGTGTAGGGGGTACAGCTGCTGTTTCAAGAGACCTAGTCTAAGGGACGTCAACAAACCTTTGGCTTATATCCAAGAAACAGGGGCTCCACATACCTCTTCTGCAAACCAGAAAGGCAACAGTTGGTGACCTGGGCCCTGGACACATCCTGAAACCTCATTCCCATCCCAACCTCCAACTTCCTGGTCAGACTGCTGTTCACTACCCAGGACTTTTCCTAAACAGACAGCATTTCTTTTGTTGACATCAAACTGGGGCCTAGAAACAATAGAGCTTCCCCTCAGGGGGGATTTGTATTGAAATAAAGCTCTAATGCAGAGCATGGCTGAGACCTCCATTCTTTTATTGACATTTTTCTAAGAGTTGTACCTGGTTACTCAAACAGAAATACTTCCAAGCCAGCTTCTGGCATCCAACAGTAGGTAGATGTAGCCATGAGATGGAATGATGACCAGAAGCAATGTATGTAACTGCCTAGTTGTGCCCTTAAAGAGAAAGAGCATGCCTCACCCTAGTACCCCTTTCTGCCTGGCTGTAGTATGAGCAGTGGTAGTGAGCCATTATAGACTTTGTTGTCAAAGGGACCCTGAAGAGTAACAAAGCAGGAGAATCTGGGGTCCTAGGCAGTATGATGGGTCAGAATCTTACGAGTCATGATGGCCTACATCTCAATCATTGCTTGAATAACAGAGACTATCATTAGGGTTCCACTAGCAAACAAATGGTAGGCATTCCACCTAAGGTAAGGCTGAAAGTAAGGCCTATTGATATCCCAGACCTCTCTAACCTAGAGGTGAGGGCCCTGGAGCCAAATGTAGAATCCAAGCATGCATGGCAAGGGTGAAATTTGCTTTGAAGCTGAGTTTGCATAGAGCAAGCCCAGCTTTTGTCAAAGTTTCCCATTTGCTACAATGTCTCAGAGATGGTAGAAGTATTGGGGGAGGGAATTAAAACTCCATTCAACCCAGTAGAGTTGTTATTGAAGAGCCCAAGTGGGATCATATTGGCTTAAAGTTTCCAAGATTCAATACTGTGCCTCAAAGAATGTGACTGGTGTTCTCTGAGCCGTGATCTACAAATGTGGTCTTATAACAATACAATGTTTTATAACAAAATTACCTCTAAATTAAATATTAGGAGATTTTTTTCATACAAATCTCAACTTACATTTTCTACAAAATCAGAGACTGACTGAGACGCTGCTTAGCATTGATCAGCTGGTCCCTAGGCACAGGAGCTGGCACAGGTGTTCACAGTGTGTTCACACTTGCCCCCACTTACCCATAGCCACATATAGTTTTATAACTGACCTAACTTTAGTTCCCCACTGACCATGTACCCAAGGCACATGAGTTTGTTCTCTCTGCCACCTATTTGTGGCCACACATCCCTGAGCATCTTGTAAGTATGGTATTGGGTAAGTTCACCTTCTCTGACAATGTTCTCTTAATATTATCTAGGACTTTGTTTTCCCCCAAAGTGTAAATGTGAAGTGCCCACAAAAATAGATCTTGACTTTCTACTCACTGCCATCATACTGGAAAGGAACCCTCTCTATATGAGTTTATAGGATTTTTTCAGAATATAGTTTTTAGTGTACTAAATTGTCCCACTCCCTTTGTTAGAATATCCTGAAGATATTCTAAGGTTGACAGGGCACCAATATAAACTAAAGATACAGTCCTATTCCTACCCACAGTGGGAATGACCCTAGGCTTCTGGCCCAGTCTACTTTCTCTTCCCCAAGTGACCTGAGACATGTGACTTGATCTTTCAGAGAGTCTGTTTCAACTTGGGAGAGGTGTTGGAAGGATTAAAATTCTAGTGCCTCCAGCATAGTAACTGGGGAAAGGTGTGGAATCAACATGAAGGCTCTCCCTGCTAGCATTTCCTACTAAGAACAAATATGGAAAGAGACCAGCAGGCAAGTAGTAGAAGGAAAGTATATTTGGCTCAGGAAAGGGACTGGAGCAGTTTGTGGGCTAAGGGGATAATCAGAAAATATTAGTTAAAA